ATGAAGGAAAGAAAACAACAACAACAGTGTATTGATTTTGCAAACATGTCTTCACCTACGGGTACACACTTAATTTGTGAACTTTGGTCTGAATAGGTAAGAAACTCTTGACTGTCTGAATAAGCAGGATGTGCATTTTGGGTTCAACACATCTCCTTGCAGACACCCACCTCAACAAAATGGGCTCAGAATGAGGCTCACTAGAACTTAAATAGGGTTGACTGGGGCCAACATCTGCCTTTCAAAACAGTACTGGTAAACAGGTTTCCACTAAGCCTTGATCTTGCACATTTTCAAAATGCTTCCTTGTCTCTCCATGGCAGGACAAGTGGCACTCAGACAGGCCCAGGTTCATGGATTTTCCAACTAGATGGGACCATCCTGTTTGTGAAGCACAGCCCCTGGATGGAAGGAATGTATTTACTTGTTATTTAGCTTCTCTCTTTTTCCATTTGTGCATTGTGTAAGTTACTCGTCTTGCAAAATCAAGAGATGATGAACCTGTGTTGATTTAAATGCTTTGCATGAGAAGAACCTCCTTCATGACTGAGGTCAGTCTTCCACCAGAGCGAGCACCAACCATATCACTAAATACTTTTATGAACAGATTAAGCTCTACCCCTAGTATTGTGTCTTATCCAAATCTATTCCCTAGATTTGAGGGAATAGATAGAATCCTAAAAGTGTAACTCTACCTTTCTGTATTTTTCAAGAGTTTATTCTTCCATTACTGCAATGTCTGAGTTTACTTAAAGTAAACTCTATTGGAAAAATCAAGGTTCTATTTATTTATCAACATGGAGTCTTTTGGAATTTTTCCCCTTGAGATCTGGTCTCAGATGGGCGATAGGGCTTTGAGAGAAGGTTGCTGGGTTTGGGTTTTTTTTTCTTTATATTATGTAGTCTATTATTATTATTATTATTATTTTTAATATTCTTTAGTGCTACTCTTTACACCTCTGCAGTCCAGTCACCTGTGTTTGTTATCTGACCTTATGCTTTAAAGCAAAACCTCTAAATATATATGTTAATAAAGTAAAAATGAAATTCATAAGCAAAAGCTGTTCTAAAGGAGACTAATGGAAAAAAAAAAACAAAAACCAATAACAAAACAACAAGAAGCAAACTAATTACATGAAACAAAGCTGGATTTGAAGCATGAAGGCAATAAACATTAATACTGCCTTTTAGTCCTCTTTTTGTAGGAGGCTGGAAAAATACCAGGAATATTTTTTATACTGGAGCAAAAGAACAATGCCAGGAAATACTAACATCAGCTCTAGTAACTTATACAGTAATGTGGGAAGCGTGTCTATTTAAGTGACAGACAACTGGGGCACTTCTGCAGATTCCTCATACAGGAACTAATGAATTATCTAACGACTAAATTATCTCCGGGCTTTGTGTTGATTAATAAAAATGCTAACAAACAAAGCAGTGCAAATGCTATGCAGTTCCAGCATGAAAAAAAGAAACAGAAGAATACCAGCCATATAAAAAATAACTTACTATCAAGGTTGGCATGAAGGTAAATACCAGTGTCATTGTATCACTAATTTCTCATAATGAAAGGAGTCTATGCAAATGGCCCAGATTAACAAGCAAACCCAAGGTTTTGTTTGAGAAGGTGGGGAGAGTGGGTAGGTCCCCTGTTTGGAAAAGCCTGAGGATCTCTTGTATTCATTATGTTACAGTACACCCTTCTGTTTGAAGGCTTCATAGTTCAATATTCCAGCTGGAGTCCTGGCACATCTGGACACTTGAATATAGCGATGTGCGTGGTATAAACTCTGCTACTGTATTGATTCAACTCACGTACACAGAAATTAAAGAACAAAGCAGAGGTACAGTAGCCTCTAAACCCTCTGTAATCTTCAGCAGTATCTCAAGCCCTCTAGAAGCATCACTGCCCTAGTCTTTTTCCCTGACTCTTTTTGTGTTTGTCTTACACTTAGCAGGTAAATTATCCTGCTTTCACAACTTGGCTAACCTTACATCCATCAGAACATGCAGATAGGGCACAGAAGACAGAAAAAACTTAGCAGCTGTTAGTGGGTGAGGAAAATATGTGTTAAAAAAGTTAGGAAACGTTCGTATCAGCACTTGGAAGAAAGCTTTAATGTATGTTTGGCTTTTCTCCTTAGACCATATGTAATTTCTTGAACTTCTCACTGACACTGAATCTCAGTGAAAACTTAAAATGGTGATTCCAAACAATTAGTGCTTAGCAGATTGGGAACTCTACTAATCTTATCAAGACTAAACCAATGAGCAAGCCCAAATGCCAGATAACAGCATACATGTGCATGTGTTTTTTATCTTCCTGGATTATCATGCTGCTCAAAATAGCTTTGCTCTTCTTTCTTTCTGTGTCTGTTTTTGATTGATTTCAGTTTACCTCACTTCTTTTTAATTTGTTTACAGACAATCATGCATCTTGTTTAGCTTCATCTGATACTGTCTACCTTCCTCTCTATCAGAATCCACATGCAGCAGAATGAGCTTCAGTAAAATCAATGGGAAAGTGACACAAATGAAAAGGTCAGTGTATTCTTTGAGTAAGGTCCCAGTAGCATCTGCTGCTGACAGAAGTCATCTTCTATCTGTACTGAAATAATACACAACTGAAACCTGTGCTGAATGTTTTTTACTTGTTTTTCATAGAATCATAGAATGGCTTGGGTTGGAAAGGACCTTAAAGATCCTCTAACATCCAGCCCCCAGCTAATCAGAATTGTATGGGAACTGTTGAGTCACAGCCTGAAGCACTGATTGATCACCCGAGGCAAGCATTGAGTCATCCATGGGAGCACAAGTGAAGGCGATTCAGCTGTGTGACCGAAGGGGTGGAGCCTGTCTGCACCTCTCCTAGACCCCATTTAAGGGGAAGGGTTGCTTTCTGGAGGATTCCCCTTGGTGGAGCTTTCCTTTGCAAACCTAGAATCTTCTGGTATAGGTGACCAATCTTCTTTCCTTCCCTTGTAGCTTCTTTCCATTTTTTCCCTTCTTTCTATTGTGCTGGTTCTCTGTTATTGCACCTTTGTTGTAATGCCTTTCCTATTGTATTGCTCTGTCTAATTGCTACAAGAATCATATCACCAACTCCTCCCAGATAGAACTAACGAGTGATTGAAAATGATATTCATTCCTTATTTTTCTCCATTTTATTTCTTTTAAGTAGTGGATGCTAAGTGGTGCATGTAGGCAGACCTCAGCGCAATGTTGTTCAAGAGAATCTCCATCCATTGACAACCCCCTCCAGTAGTACCTACTTTAGCAGCATGCACACTTCAACAGTATTATGATGAATGTCTGACCTTGACCCACATCCACTTTGAGTTGCTGCATAATTTGGTGAATATAGAAGTGCTTGAGGCTCCACGTGGGCCCAGCCCTAGGTGCTCCCAAGGTATGGTAGGTCTGCATTTCTGTGTAACATCCATCAAGCTTCCTTGGAGGCATTTAAGATTGCAATTAATTTAGTATTCATCTAAACAGATTATCCTTAGCTTCAAGCGAATGAAATCTATAAGCAGATTGTGAGGATGAGAAAGCAATTTTTTTAGTGAGATGAATGGATTAAAAAATAAGACAAAGGTCTGACGACTCAATCAGCCATAATCTTGATGGCGGGCCTTGAGAAATATAGGTCGATATGTTTAATGTTTGGTACTTTAACATTCCAGAGATTTAGATAATTGTGAATTTGAGAGCAATTGGATTTTCAAAGTGTTTTAAAGACAAGATGGAATAATTCTCTCATATTTTGCCACCTACATTCAGTCTGATCTTTACCATATTGTGTCCCAAGTTGAGGTGAGGTGCTTTATGCACAAAGTAAAGAGGCTTCCACCTGCAAGGACTGCCAGCTCTTTTGTGACAGCTCCTTTCACTTTAGAAGTGGGAACCAGCTGAATCCAGCAGAGATCATAAAGCAGATCTGTCTACTGTCATAGTTCACAGCCCAGCTATGAATGAGAATTAAATTCAGCTATGGTTCATCATAATAGGCAAGGCATGGGTTGGGTTGAGTGCTTGCTTATCTCTCTGTCTAACAGGCAGCAACCCTGGGCAGAGAACTAGGGGATGTGAGCTCTTGAATTAACCCACATGAATCAGAGAGATCAGGAACAGACTTCTCAAGTCTCACATGCTGCATAAGTAAATAAGGAGCCAATCTCTGAATGAACTAAGCCAGCTTCAGGCACCAAACTGACAAAAATCACTTGGATCCTATCTAGATAGGTGTGCAGAACATCACCCTTCAACATGCAAACATGTCGCTGAGATCCTGGAGCAAGGTCTCAGGTGAGGACTGACCTGTGTCTGTCCCCTGCATACCAAAATTATACATACAGCTGTGGCGGAGCTGCAGTAGTCTATAAGCAGTGCAAGTATCAGAGCTGCTCTCAGTTTGTTTTTGTGGCAAAAAGCTCACAGCATAAACAGACTTGACAGGTACACACAACCCAGCAGAAAGTTTATTTGGTAAACACGTATTTTTAGTCACATAAGAAGGCTCTGGCTTTAGCAGACAAGAAGCTTCACCTTAGTGTAGGCATCGCATTGCACAAACAGAATGCGTTGATTTAAACTCCAGCAGAAAAACAGCAGTCAATAAAACGATTTAAAAACTTGAAGTTGTGGCTGGAAGCAAAAGGGCTGCTCTAAATTGCCTTTATTGACTTCTGCTTTATTTTTTTCTCATTAGAAAAAAAAGGGGGGGAGGGGAAACCGAAACAAACCCAGCACTAGAACGTCCCTTCACAACGCAGCAGCACCCAACAGGACCGCCGCACCCCACGCCTCCACCCAGCGTGGGACAGCCACGGCCCAGCCCCGCCCCGCGCACACCGTCGCAGCCCCACTGCGCATGCGTGTGGAACGGCGCAGGCGCAGAGCCGCCGCCCCACCCACCCCAAGATGGCGGCGCCCAGAGTAGGAGGCGGTAGCTGAGGGGTGCGCGTGGTGCGGCCGCGCCTTCCCGCGCGCAGGTAACCGTCCTCCGCTTCCCGCCGGCATGTCTCCAACCTCTGCCCGGCCCCGTCCGCCCTGCGCCTTCCGGGCCTCAATCGTCCTCTCCCTCAGCCTCCCCGTTGCTGTGCTACAGCATCACTGCGATGCGGAGTCTCGAGCTGCGTTCCTTTCCGTTCTGTCAGTCCAAGCTCGCGCTCTTTTCAAACTGCTGGGGTGTGCGGTACGTGGCCCGCAGCCGGTGGCAGTGAGGAGGGCTGCCCGTACCTGTGGCACCGTTCTTGTCCTGCACACCGGGAAAGGCCACGCCGTACATACGCTGCTTGTGCTGTCCTCCTGTGCCCTGCACGGCCTGAGGAGTGCGGGAGGGGCCTTGGGGAGACCCCAGCCCTCAGCTCAGTGCTGAAAGCGGTTCTGGAGGGAAGGACGGAGCTCCTTTCTCTTACAAAGCCGAGGTAATAGGGTTAATAAAGAAACAGTAAGAGTTACAGTAAAGTAGGCAAGTACTAAGAAGTTCTTGCTGATTTTGTCATCACGCTGTAGGAAGTGGAGTGGCTTCTAAGTAACTCGTACACAGCTGTGCTTGGAATCCTGAGTCCAGTTCTGAATGTGTTATTACAATTGAGAAAGGTTTTAGAGATTTAGCAGGGAAAAAGTTCAAGGTGCTGCCGTGACTTGTGTAATTAAAAAGTATTCAAAAGAGATTGCTTGTTAAGGAGGAGAGAAAAGTGCAATTCCGGAGGCAGGCAATGAGGTGGACAAAGAAGCCATGTGTATGCATATATGTGATGTACAGTAAAGAAGTGTAACATGTAACGTGGGGGGAAATATGAAAGTTTATTCATGGCAGTTTTATTTATTGCTTTATTTTCTACTGTAGAAAAAAAAAATCTGGTAAAATCAGTAAATATTTTGTATAAGAATTAGTTGTTTTGTATTAGAAATAGGGAAGCCAGCGGGGAGATGATCATCCTTCTGTACTCTGCACTAGAGAGGCTACACCTTGAATACTGTGGTCAGTTTTGGGACCGTGACTACAAGAAAAACATCAGGGCCCTGGACTGTGTCTAAAGAATGGTAGGACATTGGGACAGGCTGCCCAGGGAGGTGGTGCAGTCACTGTCCCTGGAGATGTTCAAGAATCGTGTGGATGTTGGCAGTGAGAGACATGGTCAGTGGGCATGGTGGGCTGGGTTGGCAGTTGGACTAGGTGATCATAGTGGTCTTTTCCAGCCTTAATGATTTTATGCTTTTGTATCTTATTAAGACCAATCATGAGCTTGAACACTATTTGATCTCTTTCACATCTGAGTAATTTTTATTTTGGAACGCTCATTCTGAAACATGTGAGCAGTTCTTTTAATTAGGTTTTCAGTTTATGGAGAATAGATCTCTCTAGAACCAGACTTTCTTACCTTATTAATTCAGACCTGTTGTATAAATTTCCCAGGTAGTTCTAGCAGGAAGCTATACTGACAAGGAAGCCCTTAGCACAATACTCAATTTAGAATACCTAGCTGAAATCTACTAATTATAGTAATCCTCCCCCATCTCTTATCCTTGATGACAAATTCAGGAGTTTTACTGAATAATTTCATCCAACTTCCTCTTCTCCCTATATTCATTCTAAATGATTACTAACACCGTTAGCCCACTTCTGTTCAGTCAGCTGAGTTCCTCGGGTCTTCAGTGACTAATGCTGCTTTTATGGGAGTTGGAATGCTGGAGAAGAAATCTATCATAACACTGTTGTTCAGTGCAAGGGTCACAGTTCATTCTCTTAAATCAAACATAAATGCTTGTATAATTTAATTACAGATAGAAAACAAAGTAATCTAAACCAAGCAAAAAACATATTTCAGAGCTACCAAATTTCTGTATAATCTTAGTAACCTCTGAAATACTGCTCTGTATTGGAGACTGAGCTGTGTATTTTTATCTTTTCAGAATGGACACCGTAGCACTAAGAATGCAGTCGGTTTGTCGGAGAGTTGGTGCCTGTTCCTCATGTTTGAACAGACAACTGAATGGCTTCTTGGCACTCATTAAACGGCAGAGGAGTCCAGTTCCTGTTTGTATCAGAACTATTTACAGCGAAACGGGGAGATGGGAGAAAAACTATGGGCAGGAGACAAGGAGAAGAGTGGAAAATTGGTGGTTCCCAAGAATAAAGGAGCAGTTCTGCAGAATTTCAGAAACAGATGTAAGCATTGTGAGAAATTTGGAAATTACGTTTGGTGTTTTTGTTTCCTTAAAATAAAATTAATTCAAAAATACTTAATGCAATTAGCTCACAAAGATGAGATATATATTATAGTTGAGAGGGGAATAATTTTATAAAATAGTACATTATTAAAAGCAAATACTGGGAGAAGAAAGGAAGAACATGGTGTTCAGCAGAGTATGAGCTTGTAAATGTACACAGTGTTTACTCAATTATTTCTTCTAATTTTGTATCACATTCAGAAATTATTTAAAGTATTAATCATCTTTTACTTTCATAACTTTTTGAAGTAATGTTCTCTGTGGTTGTGACAGAAGCTATTGTATTGGGCACTGTGATCTTTGTTGCACGAAGCTGATTTTTCAAACAACATGTTCTGTTTTACAGTGAGTTAGAAATAATGAGTAACTTACAGAAAAAACACATTCCCACACAATGAAAGATGTTGAAAACAATTGTAGCCTCTGTATCTGACTCTTTGATTTATCAATTATGCTCAGTCACATAGAGATCCAAACTTATTTTTGGCCCCCTCTTGTTTGTATGTTCTTCTATCCTAAAATGTGTCCCTTCTCACAAAAAAAATTAATGCTATCCAACTGTCAAAGACAGGGCTTGCTTTTTCTGACAAAGAAAACTGAGATGAAAATAGCAGATATGTGTACGTGTAGCAGGGAAGGCATGAACTTAAGCTTTTTTCCTTTTATTATGTGCTAATACATGTACATGTAGATAGCTTGTACATATGATAAATATGCTAAGTTATGAATGGCATTTTAAAGTATGTATTTGTTTTGCCCTGGCCATTACAGTAGAAAATCTCTTATTAGGAGGCAATATGATAAATAAGAATTTAGAGAAGAGTTCAGAATAATAAATCCCCATCTTCTTTTTTTGTTGTTTCCGTTGTTATTGAAAGTAAAATAATGTAATAGCTTATCAAGCATGCATCAAAGATAAATTCAGTGGCAATCAGAACATTTTAGGAACAAGTTATGGGAGATACAGTGTTTGATTTCCTCTAACTTTTGTCAGTTTACTCAAACTTAACTAAATTAAATTTCAGGATACTACTTTAAGACTACTTTGTATCTGAGTGTAAGAGTAAAGCTGAGGAGTTTCACTTCAGTGGATGTTTGTACCATTACAAGTGAGGTAGTTTTGCAGTATGTTACACAAACTTGGCCCTGTATGAGCTCCATATTCATTGTAAATGCAATGTAAAACACTTACTTAGAGAATTGCTTTATCTATCATTTCCTTTAATTGACTGGAATCGTTAGGAGTACTCAGGTAATGCCATTCAGCTGCTGTGATACAGAATGGTGATTGTTAAGCTGTTGTCAATTTATCTTTAGTCGAGTAAAAGTTTGTTAAAAATGTGATTTTCAAGTGCCATATAAGTATCAATATAAATTGATGAGGGGGCTGCAAAGTCTGGTAAAACATCTGTTTGCAGGCCCGAACCTTGGAGTTTGCAGGACTTTTAGTAAGGATCTGAATTTTGTTTCTTTTCATGGTAATTTGTAGTTTGTAATGTACATGTGTATTTATTCCAGGGAAATGCTAACTTGTGGTTAAAACTTTCTAATAATTCCTTTCTAGAAATCAAGACCAAAATTTTATGTGCTTTCTATGTTCCCATATCCTTCTGGAAAACTTCACATGGGTCATGTTCGTGTCTACACCATCAGTGATACTGTTGCTCGGTATCAGAAAATGAGAGGGATGCAGGTAAGAAAGGATCTGCAGTAGGGTTGGCTTTTTGTTTCCTATTTGTTTGTTTTCTGCTTTGTTTTGTTTTCTGAATATGTTAATATAATTGGACAGAAAATTAGTATTTTCCAAAGTCTATAAAGACTTAGTTGGAATATAAGCTTTGAATGCATAGGTATTGACATTTGAACTTCTGAATATTGAAATTTGAGACTGTTAAAAAAAAAAAAAAAAAGATCTTCAGAGCTCGCTGTTGCTAACTGATCTTTAGAAACTATTTCTAATGGTGTAGCTGATGCTGTTTTCTGTTAGTGTATGGCGCAGTGTCAGTGAGAAGTGTGGGCCACACTGTTTCTATGAGAGAAACCTGAAAGCCTGAATGAAATCTATGCAGAAAATTGAGGGAGAAAAGTTCATATCCTGTAGCTAACAACATAAAACTAGTAAGCCTCAGAAGTCAACACCATTCATGTCTCTGCTCCCTTCCTCCTTCCTCCCTCCTTCCCTTTTCTCTGTGCACTGAGCAGAAGGTATGGTTGGGAGCTTGGTCCCTGCAGCGTATGGATGGGATCATGGTTGGTGTTCTGCCATGAAGTCTGGTGGGTAACATTTGGAGGATTTTGGTAGAATTGAGGCCTGAGTGACAAGCATTTTAAGGGGAGAGAAGGCATTTGGTGGGGGGAATTTGTTAAGAATGTGGGAAAGAGGAACATGGAAAGGGAGTATTCTATTTTGGAGTAGGGAAAAAAAAGAACAAATCACTTTAGGCAAAAATCTGAGTCTGAAAAAGGAATGTATGAGAGAGAAGATCGGGAAAACAAGAATCAAAACCTCAGAGTGCAAATGAAGGTGAAATGGAGAAATAAATGTTAGTTGTTGGTTGTGGTACAAAGTGCAGTCTCCTTGCTAGAAATGCATGGATTTATTACAGTCCATGAGACTCTAAAGGTGTTCTCACTGAAATAGTCAGTGTGTTGCCTTTCCAAATACTGTTAATTTGATGCCAGTGATGGTACTGCTGTGTACTGAATATGTCCTATTTTACAGGAATGTATTCTCATGCTTTTAAAATTACGAGAAAAAGGAATAAATGACACAGACTTCTAAAGAGGAAAAAAACCACAATGTCTCTTTTAATAATAATCTGTCCTAACTTCTCTGAATGACTAGAATTCAGCTCTCTTTTTAAAAAAAGAAAAAAATAGCCAACTGGAACCCTGATGAGACCTTTGATCAAGACCCTGGACATGCCATTTCAGAACACAGGTTTATCTTTCAGCAGCAATGGCAGAGATATCAGCTAATTTTCTGTTCAGGAAATGAGAACATGTTTCCTTTTGTTCTAGCTAAAGCAAAGAAAATGATTTAAGCATATTAGAGTACCTGTAGAACATGCTGAATTGCTATTCAAAGTTTTATCTTCCACTGCATTAACTACTTGGAGCATCTGTTTATGATTAGGCTGTGACTAGAGGTGGGCAGGCAGGCAATACAGCCCTCAGATGCTATCAGAAAGCATTTAAGACTCTCAGATGATTCCTGAGCGTGTTGGACTAAGAGCTGTCGTGCTAGTGGTGTGCATTAGCTTGCTCAGACTTCTACTTAGCCTAAAAACTTGTGGTTTTTTAATAGTCATGCTAATTTCTCCATCAGCCAGATTTAGTCTTCATAACTTATTTTCTCCACACTGTTGATTTATTTGGCTTTAGGTGTTTTTCTCTGGATGTTTTCACAGTTATCCAGTCTGATTTCCATTGTGATGGTTGTAGGCTGTGATGTAGTTGTCTTATTGGATATGTGTCTTATTAGAAAATGTGATATGCCCAATAAAAATAGTTTTCCCTGTGGTCAGGGAATTACTGCAATTCCTCTGTACACAAAAAGAAAACTTGAAAATGATACATGCTAGTATATTTTTTTTAAAGTAATTGTATTGCTTTTTTATTGCTGGAAATTCAGCATTAGTATTGCATATTTGAAAGTTCAATGACTGCTGATGTTTACATAGCAAATGTTTGTTATACAGTGAAGAGTGATGAGCAGTTACCATGAAAAACATAGGTGGAAACATTCGGACTCATAGTGCCCAAGGAAAGCTTCAGACTAAAGCAACTTATTTGTTGTCCAGCAAACAGCAAGGGAAGATAGCAGGGAGGGAAGGTTGTTTCTACATTACTGTCTTACTCAGCCATATAAAGTAATGTATGTTGAATAAGATGGGTTTTTTTTTAGAGAACGCCTTCATGAGAGAACAGTAAATTTCTTTCATATTGATTAAATCTGAACAGGCAGAGATTTGGCTTATTTGATATAATACTTGAGGGTAAATTTGAATGGCTTTGCAACTGGATTAGAGTTCCTTTAGTAAATTGGAACTATTCTTTGGAATGTGTTTGTGGAATGTCTTCGTACTGGTGGTAGTTTGGTATCTTAGCTGGGAAGGAGTTCAGTCATTTAGTGCTGTATTCACTTTTTCAAAAATGGAACATTAGTATTTCTTTTTCCTGTCAGGATAGAATCTGTTTTTGTTTCAGTTAAAATAGAGAGTGATACACTCCAAGCTGCCAGAAGGCAGTACATCACCAACTTGTGAAGTGGGAAAATACATTTTTTTTGCACTTCTTCCTCAGCTTTTAAGATAAATATTGCTTCAGCATAAAGCCATAGATGATACTAGTGACAAACAACACTGAAAATTGGCAATCAAACAGATCACCTAATGAGCAGCAGCCTTATCTGTGATGCATGAATGCTAGTGATTTATTAAGCAGTATGCAGGGGGGGGGATTTAATGCAAATGTAACATCGCAATAGGCAGTCACTTCTTCAATGTCCTGATGAATGATGAGCCTTGCAGTGTTTGCTGTAGGAGCTACAGGAACGTGTCTGTAGCAGCACTGATGTAGTCAGCAACACCTTTGGGGTCAGCACGTTGGGTTGTGCTAATGGGCACTGAAATCCTGTTTGTTTTACTGGAAGATCTGACCAATGAAGTGCTGTCTGTTAGTCCAGCAATCCTCAAACGCCTGTGGGCAGTGTGTGGGAAGCAAACTCCTTAGTGCATTTGTGTTAGGATGCTGGCTAAATACTTAGTGGAGTACATCTGTTAGAAGATGGTGAAGTTTGGAGACTTCACGCAGGGGCTGTAAACAGTAAAGGTTATTTAGCATGAATGCAGTGAGCCAGGCTCTTTTCAAAAAATAGCTTGTATATTTTAATTTACAATTTCATATCTGTTAATAAACAAATATGGAGCTAAAATATGGTTTTCTATGTGAGCAAACGTGTGTGTTGTGAAGTCAAGTGCAGGAGTTTTGTAAGAAGTTAAGAAAGTTCCTATTCATTAGTTGAGAGTGCCAAGAACAAATTATAGATGGTCATGGTGATTTTCACCGTGGCAGATATTTCCAGTCAGCCACTGCTCAGGGAGAAAGTATTTACCATTACTTTATCATGCTATCATTATCATGTCTTTGATAAATTCCAAAGTGGATAATTTTTGCCTCTCAGAGGATTGGAGATAGTTCTCTTAGCAATCAGTAAGCAGAGTGATTCAGCTCAATAGTTCCTCTGATATCTTTTTAATAAAATTCTGAATTGAAATTGATACCACCGTGAGGCTCACATATGAGTTGTACAGAAATGGAAATGGTCATTGGACAGTTCTGGTGAAATTCTGGTACATTGTGATTGGATTTCATCACTTATACTCAAACTGCTCCTGATAGATGAGATGGAAATATTACTGAAAATATTCCAACAATATCCCCAAATGACCTAAGGAACATTTTCTTTTTATCCAGAATATCTTTTTTTAAATTGGATGTATTTTCATTAGTTGTTTTCCTTTCCAGCAGTGAATCTTAATACTCTTGAAATTGCAGAAGTGAATGGAGAGGCAAGTTTAATTAAAACTTCATAATGAATTCATCAGTAGGATATGCTATTTCAATACATTCCCATTTTCCAGTCAACATTAGCTGGTATTCTGCACCACTTTTTGTGTATGTAAAGTTGGTGTGGCCAAATTATTTTGTGTGGTACAAATCACGTGGGAAATACAACAGATATCCTATGAATTGAACCTTAACAAATACCAAAGGTGTTAATTAGCTCACTCTATTACATTTTGAAAGAAAGAGGGAGAAAATGAGATGCTAGCTTAAATGCAATTAAGTTAGACAAGAATGTGAGAGATTATGGAGGAGAGAGACACCTTCGTTTTCTAAATGTTAGAGATAGTGTGTGGACGTGGAATAAGTTTTTGTATTTTGTGTCTTGTGGGATGAGAACTAAATGAGAGCATTATGTAAGCGGAGTTACTGTTTTGATTATAATCTGTGTGGGTTGATTATTTTTTAATTTCAAAGTGCTTTATCAAAATGCTGGTGTGCCGCATTGTTACTGCAGAGAATCGCTGAAATACTTCTTGCTAGACTGTGCACACTACTCAGATTCATTATTTTAATCTATTTCCAGGTGTTCACTATCTCTTTGTTCTTCTTCCTGGTGGTTTTTGGCTGTTGTCATCAAAGAATCATAGAATCATCTGAATTTGAAGGGACCTTTAAAGATCAGGTTACTCACAGGCTGGTCCAGTCTGAACTTCAATGTCTCCACGTATGGGGCATCCACTAGCTCTTTGGGCAGCCTCTTCCTGTGCCTCACTACCCTTACTGTAAAATAATCTTTCCTTATATCCAATCTTAATCTCCTCTCTGTCTTTCCTATACCGTGGACTCCACATCTGGATGCAGTACTCCAGGTGAGGCTTCTCCAGCACAGAGCAGAGGGGCAGGATCACCTTCCTTGTCCTGCTGACCATGTTTCTTTGGAGGCAGCCTGGGATTTGGTTGGCTTTCTGGGCTATGAGGGCACATTGCTGGCTCATGTCCAGCTTGGCATCCACCAGTTCCCCCAGGTCCTTTCTGGCAGGGCTGTGCTCCATCCTTACATCCCCCAGTTTGTATTGATAGTGGGGGTTGCTATGACCCAGGTGCAAGATCTTGCACTTGGATGTGTTGGACCTCACGAGGTTCTCTTGGGCCCACTGCCCCAGCCTGTCTTGGTCCCTCTGGATGGCATCCTGTACCTCAGGTGTGTTGACTGCCCCCCACAGCTTGGTGTCATCTGCTCGCACTTGGTGAGGGTGCTCTCAATTCCTCTGTTGATGTCATTCTGTCCTCTGAGGGACAGCACTCATCACCCATCTCCATCCAGACACTGAGCCACTGAGCACTACTCTCTGGGTAAGCAGTGTTTACTACCTAGTGCAGTTAAAAATCAATCTAGGCTGCATTTAGTGAAGGTCTTGATTTTACAGATCTTACAGGTTTTTCAGCCTGTTCAGTGCAGCCTTATTTTAGGCAGCCAATAGAAGGATCAGCTCTGCTGTCCTTCCTGTCTCACTTGTGTGTGCACACTTGTGAGATCAAGTACAGGGAGAATGACAGAAAGTTGCCACTGAAGCCAGGGATGGTTTCTGGAAGATGGAACTTGTAGGCATGGATCATCTATTTAATTAGTAATTGGAATTAGTTCATGTCAGTTGTGTCAGGGCTCTGTAACTAGAGGCACGTGTGCAGGCTTTGCTATATTGATGCACATAGTCAGCAGGCCTTTTCATTTTCATTTTTGCTTGTCTTCTTTTTTCACATGCTCTTTGTAGATGAATTTATTTATTTATAGACATTTTTGATGCTACTTGTGCTTGCTTGCTTAGAATTTAGAATGCATCGATCTAGATTTAAGCAAGATGCATCAGCTCTCTGGTCATAGCGTTCAGACGCACTGAGCACTTCAGGCAAGCAGACAGATTCTTTGCTTCTTTACAAACATCAAGAACAATTCACTGCATAGTTTTTTCCTTATGCTGATGGAGGCATAGAACTGAGTGTTAAAAGATCATTGTCAGCTTTGTGTTATGTCGTGCTTACTGATCTCGCCCACTAGTGTCAGTGTGATGGGCTGACTGTCATGGCAGATGGAAATCTTCTGAGAGGAAGAGCTGAGCTCTCAGAGTGAATTAATGGAGTTACTGTGTTGTCTTCTGCTTACCCCCACAGTCACATTGAGAGCTCCAGCCAGCATTAATGGCAGATTTCTGGCTGTACTGTGAAATGATCCTTACTCCTTTGCTACAAGCCAATATGAATTGAGAGGCTTTGGGTTTAGGTGTTTCAAGATGCAGCTGTTTTCCTTTTTAATAATCTGCTTGTGAAAAGTTCTCCGTGTGCCCATATATTACTTCATGGTCCTATGCAAAATGTGGAGTGTTGAGTGGCAGAAAACATTCAATCCTGCTTGATCTTGCAAGCTCCTGAGGATCTTAGGTATATCATTGGTGTGAATAAGTAACCTGGTGCTTTTAACCAGGCAGAGTGTAAGTAACTGCTTCTCTGTGAGGACCTACCAGTGCCTGTGCCCACAAAGGGAGAATTCATGCAAGGAAGGAGTGACTGCAGAAACACAGCTGGTTGTGGGAACTGCACTGGCTTCTGCCATCTTAAAATGGCTGTGAGGCTATAATCTGCCTCCTTTTACCTGGTATAGACACCTTCAGATTACCCAGGCTTCTCTCCTAGAAGATAGGTTCATTATTTGTCTTTTTTTTCCCAAGTGATTTGGAGATCTTGTCTGTATGGAGAAGTGATGCTTGGAAGAACAGTCACTCCAGTGAGCAGGATTGATCTTGTGATTGCATGAAGTTTAAAGGCCACTGTCAGAAGCAATCGAGTCAGCATTTAAGAATGTTGGTGACTCTCTTTTTCCTTTCTTTCTGCTCATCTGTAATGTTACAGGGAGCAGCCATGTTTTCTGCTAGTTAGAACCTTTGGCCAAGCTCTAGAGATCTTCAAGGAATACCCTTTGGTCTTCCAGATTGCTTTGTTCCTATTTTTATTTTGTTTTAAGCAGGGCAATTGAACTGTTCCTTTATTCTTTGTGCCAACTTCTGACAGGTTAGTAGTGTATTTTTTTCTTCTCTTCCACGTCTCTTGAGATTTTTTGTGTTTGTCGGAGCTATATAGTTTATCTCAGCCTTGTTTTGTGTTGGCTGAGTCAATTTAAGACATAATGCCAAGTGCTGCATGAAGATGGGTAACACGTTTGCAGCCAGAAGAAGCTGACCTATTGTTTAGACAATTGCATTTCACAGACCTTTCACATCCATTCACGGTACAGAAGTAAAGGAGACAATGAACTTGAAATCATTTTTTAAACCACTGTGCATGTTACATTCATCTCTATAGCAACTATATAAATAGATCTATCCTGGAGATTAGTCTGAGGATATTTTTAATATCTCTTTAAATTCAGGTTTCTTCCTGAAACTTGAAGTTGTGTATTTCTTCAGCCCTTCAACTTGAGGAATGCTATTGGTTGTTAAATTGAACTGTATTTGTCTGTGATAAGTGAATATACTATGTGATACTTTTAATATACATGATAGAATTGGGAAGATCTGTGTGAGCAGATAACTCCTGCTAGTGCTGATCTCCTGCTAGCACTGATGGTACATGGATAAAATGTGTGCATGCTAGCTGTCTGAGCATCAGTCAGCTCATTCAGAGAGACTGCAGCCAGGAGTGAAGCTGTCACTTCCTCACCCTTTTGCTCATGAGCCTGAGAAATGGCTTTGTTGTGCCTTGGCTTTGGCCGTCCATCTGTACCCAGGAGATATTCCAAAGCCAGATTTTACAAACATTTACCAGGAGTAATTTTTTTATTTAATCTCACTTAATGTGTATCAGTAAAAGAAAACATTTCTGGGGATGTGTTTGTTCAGCTAAAGAAATGGGGCCTAAAAAAGAGGAAGTCTGTATATCACATGGAAAAAATACCTGGCTTGTGTGGTCGTTTCTGTCCTTAGTCAGCTGGCCAGCATGAGTAACGATCAAATTGAACTATACAAAGTAATACTTTACTGTGTCCTTACAAAATTCTGTTGAGATTTGTAGTTTCTTTAAGGTTTACCTTTTTTTTTCCCCCTCTTTTATACCAATGACTTTGTTTATGGTGGGGATATGGAAGGGGGAAGGGCTGTGGGCAGGTGTGCATCAGCAGGGCATGTCAAGTAGCTTAGGCTCCAAATGAGATGCTTTCACTGAGTGCTTAAGATGAGAGGAGGTGAGAAGTTCAAATCCAAGTCTGACATTTTCTGACATTGTAATGTGAGGAATAATCTCTCTGATACAGGGGGTCATTTCTAAGACATTATAGCATTTTAATTTCTGTTAGACTTTTACACCAAAAATGTGTTTATATAGGCACTTACTGTACTGCCCTGAGAGGTGGCTGATCACAGGTTAAAACCTGTTTTATTGCTGCACTGTCTGCCTATAATCATATGCAGTAGGTTTAGTTTAAGCTCAGCATTAAAAACTAGAATGCTTAGGAGTCACATCTGTTAAATTATTTTGCTTTTGCAGTCAGTGGATGCCAAAGGCACCTTTATAAACATGTCTATAAAATATGTTTTATGAAAGAGTCAGCTGAAGTTGGAGGATTGGAAGGATGTGGCAAAGAAATAAAAGTAGTTCAAACCAGAGACCAAAGGAGATCCTGTATGTCAGTAATGAACAGATTTTTCTGTATGGAGTTAGCTTATAAGATTAGTATTGCTGGGCTTGCTTTCTCATTGCTTTTTGCTTACGTACTAAAGAACAAGTTCTTCATGTAAGTATGTATTTAAGGGGTATCATTAAGCTTGTATAACTATAATCGTATTGGTTGAATTTATTACACATTTGTAAGTATAATAAGTGGGACTGGCTTTTACCTAACATGTAAGTGTGTCTAATGACAGCAGATTAAGCATTGACCATTCTTGTCCAAATTCTTAGAGTTTTTTGAATATATACTTCTTTTTCTAGGTAAGATGTTTTTCTAAATAGTTCTCACCTTAACGGGAGAGAAATATATTTCAATAAAAGTTACACTATGTATATTTGTTAAACATTTTTAACCTTTATTTACTTGAGGTCCCTAAATACATTGTGTCAGTCTGCAGTCTATATTTACAACGGATTTTTTAAGTAAAACTTGACCAAAATATTTTTTCCTCATCATCTTGTTTTTATCTGACAGACTTAAGGTTATCATAGAGCATGTTATGTTTTTTTACCTCTTTGGCAAAAGGAGAAACAATTAGTAGTCTGCACATCAGGTATAGTTATAAAACCCTTGCTTCAAATAATTTTGCTTGCTTTCTTCTTTTCCTTCTGTGAGGTGAATATTTGATTCTGCTTAGCTGTAACATCCGCTGCTAATTTTGACCACCACACAAATTACAAAGGTTTGATTTTTGTCACTGCCAACTTAGTACTGAAATAGTCTTGAGGATTCATTGCATAATACCGTGAGCCCCCTATAACATCAAATTGTTGATAGTGAGTTTGTTTCATATTCATCACTTAAAGCAGACGTAGCCCTCGTGGGCATGCTTTGAAGAAGTTCAATTCAGATAAAGCAAATGCTAAAATGCAAACCATGGTTGGTTATTTTGAGGCTTGTGTGTGTTGCTAATGTCATTCCAGAAGGTTGCATAAGATTGTGTTTTCATTTTTTGCTGGCAGGTGCTAAATCCAATGGGATGGGACGCATTTGGTTTACCAGCAGAAAATGCAGCAATTGAGCATGGTCTTCACCCTGCAAGCTGGACACAAAGGTGATTTGTAATAAATATTGGTAGTGTAAAAGTCTGGACAGTGGAGCCCAGAAAGTAACAAAACAGAGCAAAAACAGCATAGAAGAAATGAAGTATAGGAAGAAGAAGACTAATTTGCTGTTGTTTTGTAGAAGTGTGCAGGTGACTCAATTTCAAAAGCTTGATGTGTTAAGATGATTTTCAGAGCTTCCTTCTCAATTACTTGTAAACAGCTAGAATATTGGAAAAGTGACATTTCCCAAATGTCTAAAGTGATGAATAAGAAATAAATCAGAATTCTGTTAAAGTGAGTTAAATCTGAGTGTAGAATTCACAGTTAAGAATGAGCTACGTGGTTAGGTTTACTGGCAGTTTTCAGTACTGTGAGAAAGAAGTTAATTTTCTCATTTGAGACTGGGTCTTTAAAAATGATACGCAGCCATTATTGCTGAGAAATTTTGAGATAATTTTGTGCTTTAGACCTCAGAATTAGTTGTTGTACGAGGCTTAGGAACTAGTTTTCCAAGTGAAGTTGTTTGTTGTGCTCTAGGTGCATTCCTGAAGCTGTGGTATATTTTTGCACCTCACTGTGGCTTATCCCTGCACACAGCCAACACTACACAGCTGTTTGCTCATTCTGCATCCCCCCTTCTCCTGCCCCCAAGCTGGTTGAAGCAAAAACTGGAAGGATCAGGAGCTTGTGGGTTGAGATAAAAAACAATTTAGTAAGAAGGGATAGAAAAGAGAGAGAACAAAAAGAATAAACAAAGCAATGACATGCAATACAGTTACTTACCACCAGTCCAAGCAGCAGCCCCTGCCAACCAAGTCCCCCTTGTTTTACTGTTCAGCACAATACCACAGAGTATGGGACATCCCTTTGGCCTGTCTGGGTCAGCTGTGCTGGCTGTGCCCTTCCCAGCTCCTTGTGCACCCCTAGCCCCTCACTGAGCAGCACAAGGAGCTGGAAGCACTTTGTCTTAGTGCAAGTGCTGCTCAGCAATGACTAAAATGTCACGTTATCAACATTATTCTCATCCTAAATTCAAATCACAGCACCATACCAGCTTCTAGGAAGAAAGTTAACTCTACCCTAGCCCAGAATAGACCTTGAGATAATGCTGTTTCTGTTAAGTTCTTGCATACTTCTGGTTCTTGGTTAATATCATTTGCTACTTTTCCTACTAAAATATGGTGGCAACTGAATTAGCTTAAGGAAAGTGTATGTAATGCAGTGCATACAAGTTCTGTGTCATTTATGCTCAGTTTTCTATGAAAATATGTATGAAAATATCCGTTGCCACCAAAAAAAAAAAAGAAAGAAAATGAAAACCAAACCATCCAAACCATTGTTTTCATTTTTTGAACAAGCCTGGAAAGCCACAGTGTGCACAGTGTGTTGTGAGACATCAGTTATACTGTATGTGAAGTTAGCAAAAAGGAAATTAGAAACCTGTGGCTATGTGGAAACGTCTGGACTCTCAGCAAAAAATCTGCTACCAGTGTGCCTTGCTTTGGACAAATACACTGCTTTTGTTACAGGAACTTTTCTGGAGTATGGTGGGTAAGCTGGTGATCTGTCTTCATTCAATAAGTCTGCTGTAGCTGAGCTGTAAAAATTGACGTATCTATTATATCTAAATGGCTCATTTTTAACTCTGTTATCTTGTCAGAGTCTTCACCAGAAGGAGCATTACTGTGATCTGTATTTACTTGTCAAATGAGGCACAAAGAGTGAAGTTTGTAGTCCGGAGAGAACTAGGCTGACGTGTGTGTACTTGCTGACTACAAAACGGTCAGGGTTTTCTCCTCACTGCCACGTGCTCCCTCCTCACCTATTGTATTAGCTTTGGTACACAGGACATCTTGTCAAACAGCTCAGAAGAAAGCCGTTCTGCTGGCTAAGGGAGCTGAATGGGCTCAACAGAAAAATGGTGAGCCTGTGGGGCAGAGACTGGGAAATGGCTGCCCTGTCAGCTCAGCTTGCTTCATCCAATTGGGATCACATGGAAATGTGTGGCAGGACCCTGCTTGAGCAGTGTCTTTTTTCTTGTTTCGTACATTTAAACCAATTTGGCTAGTAGTTATACGTGCAAGATATTTCATATGGGAAGTAAAATTTTGCCTTCAAAATTTAGTACTGGAAAGAATAGTTGTCTGTGAGTTAACTAGCAATTTTATAACAACAGCTGAGACAAGTTAGCACATCATCATTGGGACTGATTCTTCCAAGCAAGAAAATAATTTCTTGTAGCCTTTTTTTTTTTGTGTGTGTGTGTGTGTGTGTGTGTGTGTGTGTGTGTGATTTTACAAAGGAAAGGAAGGAAATTGGTTCATGGTACAGGCAGGATAAATTCTGATCACTCTGGTCAGTACATCCATTTTATTCACTGTCTCCTGTCCTAAATGTTTCTGAAGCCTGCAGCAGACATGACAGGTGTGTGTGGAGCTGTAATATGGGACACGTTTTAGTCATCCGTGGAACAGAGGCTGACACCTCTTTGAAAGGGGGAAATCATAAACATCTCAGCTTACTTGACTCAGGAGTGAACAGTGAAATTCAGATCATCATCATGTTCTGAAGAGATGAGTTAAAAATGATTCAATTCAATTCAATTGGTTATTACTCCTTATATTCTTGAAGTCAGGGAAAAAAACTGATGAAGATGGAGTTGCTTAAATGAAACATAAGGAAGCCTTTGTTAGCAAAAATCAGGGTAGAGGCAGAAGCTTTGTGAGAATACCCTGGAATTTAATATTTTTAAGTAGGTACGGTTTGAGTGGGAATTTACTATAAGCAGTATTACTGAAGGTACAGTTTCTTCTATTGGAAGTTGTGACTCTATAAGATTTCTTTGTTTGCTTGTACTGATATTACTCTTCTGGGAAACCTTTTCACATTTAAGTGGAGCTCTGCACTCCTAGCAATACCAGACAGAAGATGTGTTGTACAGAAAGGAATTGTTGGGAATATCTGAAACCTGCATCCAAATATATACAGAATATTTGTATACACAGCCATTGAAATGGAACCAGGATACATACCAGAATAATGATTTTTAAAATTATTATTTAAGATGAATATTCTGACAGTTTATTGTACTTGATTGGTAGTGAGATAATAGTGTGTAGATGTTAACTGGTACTTTTGATTTCTCAGAATTTTATAGGCACCTGATGTTAAATGCAGTCACATGATATGAATAATTGTAAGTGAATACTTCTCTTTTTTCTTTCTGCAGTAATATTCAACACATGAGGGAACAGTTTGATGCACTAGGTCTGTCTTTCACTTGGGAAAGGGTAAGATTTTCTTTTCTTGAGTATGCTGTTTTATTTTACTGTATGATGGAATATGGCAAAATCTGAAACTTCAAGATCTTGAACATGACAACATAGAAGCCTTGAAAGTGAGCAGGTGAGGTTGTTGCTGTAAGCTGTAAAATTGCATTTGATTAAAGCGGTAAATAGACCTTCTGTGATACTTCTTATCAAACTTCTGTCACCTTTGTTATATTGACACAATCTGACTGTCTCAAACTGTAGGAGAATCTTTCTTTTCTTTAAAGTGATTTCATGTTTCCTTTGTGTTTACACTTGGATATTTCTCCACTTTTTTGCTGCTTTTAGAGTAGCAATTTTCTTTGTTAGAAGTTTAAGTAATAGTCTAAACAGATGTTTATGAAGCAGAATACTTCTGTTAAGGTGTATATATATTTTTTTGGATGAGTGCTTCTTTCAGTGCGAATGTTTTATGATATAGTCGATGGTTTAAAGCTAGTGCCTTAAAATGTGAGTTTGGTTATGTTCTTTTAAACATGAAGTACAATCCTGCAGTATCACTGTTGTCCATATCACGGCCACTTTGGAAACTAGAAATTCTATTTAAAACACTAATGCTTGAGAGTCGTTCACCTTAAAAACCTTACCAACACAACCAGACATAGCTAATCTCACTTTCAAGATAAAAATGAAAGAAATTAATTTTTGAAGCAATCATAGTAGGGTTATTGCATTAACTGGTGAATCAGCCACAGTCGCTAACTTTATATTCTTAGCAATAATTGTTACTTATCACCTTAATATGATTCTGAATAGCCTGATGGAGATGCTAATCTTGAATTTTTATTACAGTTTTGTAGCTCTGAAAAGGAAAAGGATTAATTTTCTGGCAGTATGAGACCTGCCATCTGTTGTTGTTAATTGAGAAGGTGAAGTTGTTTTTTCTTTGTGTGTTTCTACATTAAAATGAAATAATACTTTGTCATATCTTATATATGGCAAGATGTTCAGTAAGAGCATTTTCATTAAGATTTTAGTTTTCTTGGTAACAAAAGTTGCTCTGAAAAGAATTCTTTTTTGTTGAAGGTTCACTTCACACATTCTCGACAATTATTTCCTTAAATTTTAAAGTGTTACTATCTCAGAGGTTTTCTTTATGTGTAGTACAGCAATAGCACAAAACAGCGAAGTCGTGTATGCATGTCAGTATGTACATATGGAACACACAGGAGCTGAATGTCCTAGGGTGCCTTTCAAGGAAATTGGGAAGTTCACTGGTGTGTACAGACCTTTGTGTAACCCTTATGTTCTGAAGAAGAGGTGGAGAACTGATAGTAATGAAAACCATGTCAGAAAGTATAGGTGTACAAAGAAAGCTCATTTGTCATCCTTGTGCCTGTTCTTTGAGACCTACCTCCACTTTCCTAGCAAACCATGTTATAGTTAATGAGCTTTCAGAAGCCTCCGAATATATTTGGAATGGGCATTCATACTGTACAGCTAAGTTCATTTTTAACAGTTGTATAATTAAAATAATTCAGAATGCTCCGGAGGCATGTAGTCTGTGTTTCTGAAAGATGAGTTTTTAACACAACTGAAATGTGTTCTTCAAAATACAATGAAATGTCTGCATTTTTACTCCTTAATTAAGTTTTATTTTACCTAGAAAGCTTGCCTTATTAACTGCAGTGAGAGTGACCTGGATGGTAACCATTAGAAACAGAGAGATGTTTAATCAAGGCAAAAAATATATGATGCCTGAATATACCTATTGTACATTAAATTAAATGCATAGATGTTTAAGCTAGGTTGAAGAATGTCTGTGGAAAGGAATGGCTTAAGTTACAGCAGTTTATTGTCCAGGCTGCTCAAGCCTGCTTCTCTGCAAAGATAATTAGACTGAGCAAAGCATCTTACTGTCTCAGCTGTACTGCTGCTGGGCTAACTCAAGCATCTCTGAACAGCAGTGCACCGTGCTGTGCAGGTACTTACCTTAAAAGTGAGCTCCTTGAGGTAAGGAATATTTTCTTATTATTATTCTATACTTGTATTGCAGTAAATGAGTGGCTTGCAAAATACTGTGACATTGCAAACAAACCCAAGAGTGTTAGTGACTCCTATGAAAAATGAGAGAAAAACATCTTTGATATGAGTTAGTCTAATTAGCTGAGACTGTTGTACAAAACAGGAGTTGGTTTTTAATCAAATTCCATTTGTCTTTTTCCAGTGTGCTCCTTCATTCTGTTAAAGCATGGTACCTAGCAAGTACCTGCTAGGGGAAACACATTCTCCTACCTTAGTTCCCTATTTAAGTGTGGGGTGAATTGCCTTTGTAAAGCACGGAAGTTTTGTAATAGCTGCCAAAGAATCCAGTATGGCCAGCTGAGATAATTGGGCAAAACTCAAGTACATTTTACCATTTTACAAATGTTGGGGGAAAAAAAAAGATGAGAAAGGAATAAAAAGTGCATTTAGATTATTCAGTGTGTGGAGCTGTGCCGAGGAAGCTGACTGCTTACAGAGTCATGTCTGGTGTTCAGGAAAGTTCTGTCTAGGAGTATGAAGCCTAGTTTTAATTTTTTGCTTGGTAAAATTACTGTGAGCAAATCCCAGCTCTCCTGGATAATAGAAGTTTCTTGTTATCCATCTGTTTCTCCTCATTGTTCTCTCTTCAAAATGAGAAAGTATTTTTATTTGTATGCCGTCGCAGTCAGTGAAATTACTTAACCAGCAAAGCTCAACAAAGGCAGCATAAAAAGTCATGAGATTATTTCAGAAAGCCAGGTTACAAAGGCACTTGGAAATTTTTCTGCTAAACAGAAAATGTAAGCAAACTACAATGTAATTAAATGCATTAAAAAAGCTCTGTAAGTACTTTCCTTTAGAGGAGGCTTGAATACTTACATTGCTCTGACATTATTTCCCTGAAATGTAGATATTTTAAGTGTGTCAAACAGTAATTTTTTTGAAAACAGTATTATACTGGAGAAAGCTTTAAAATAATCAAAAGCTAAATAAGAGAGAGAGAGAATGTTTCTATAATGAACCTGCAGATCCAGGGTTAAAAAGATGCACTTTAAGGATGGAAAAAATGTCTTTGAGAGACATTAAAGCACTAGGAAAATAAAAACCATTTTTGTTTTGTTTTTAAGTCAACAACAATTTTGTCTTTCCTGGTGATCAAATTTCCCCAGAATACCATCCCAGACAGCACTGCAAACTGCCTGTCACTTCTAAAGATTATTTTCAGAAGAATTATTAAGTGCAATTGTTGAAGATTCATATCATCAGCACCAAGGGGCAGAAAGTGTGTGACTTTCCCTTTCTTTTGCCCAGCAGTGCCACCAGGCTGAATTCACATTACCATTCATTCATCAGTTTACCACTGGTTTATATAACTTTCTTCTAAAAGGTAGCTTGTACTGCCAGCATTTTTCAGTATGATCAACGCTGCCCTTCTGCACTGTGCATTTTAAAATAAGAAACCTTTGGTAAATTCTCATTGTTCAAACATTTCTCTGTTTTGTTTTGAAGCTGTCATTCTGTCCGGACACACATAAAACTGTAACAGCAGACAGGGATTTAACTGTTAGATTTTCCTCTTATCCACCTCTCACTGATAATCAGTTGCCCTACTTGTAATTGAATAAAAAAAGGTACCATTGATATAAGGCTACTTTTTTTTTTTTTTTTTTGTAGGATAGATGTTTGTGCTCTAAAATGTAAGAACTGCACAATGTTTGTAGCTAATAATGCATGAAACTGAGGGCCTTTGAAATACAAATATTCAAATGAATTTAGAAATGTCATTCAGTTGAACTCTAAATGTCCAAAAATTAAATAATTATACTTGCAGTTAGGTGATATATGCCCTTTAATACCCAAACAGAAAAATGAGGGATTAGGGATGTTTAATCTTCCCAGATCTTGAAAAAATTCATTTCAGTTTTTCTCCTTATTGTCTTTTTAGTCAAGTGTAACCTGACTGTCTTCAGTATGGCATAGGTGCTAGAAACAAAATGATTAGTAATAAATGAGGAAATTAATTATCCCCCAAACAGGTGTATTTTATGGCAAATAAACACTTCTGTGCAGTCTGTAAATATTACTTATATTAAAAAAATAATAGCTGTGGAAGTTGCTTGAATATATAACCTTTTTCTTTAGCTACAAAATAGACAGTTGTAAGAATGTGGCAGATTTAGGACAAATAATGAATTTTAAGACAGGGCATTTGAACAATTTTATTAATGACAAAAATTTGCCATGCAGAACTTGGTTTTCTTTATTGAAAATTCTGTCCTGCTGGCTTTACCATTGTTTGACAGCTTCAGTTTTGTATCAGGTTCTTCCTGGTGATTGATTCTTTCACCTTAACGTGAACCAGGTGCTCATGGAGTTTCACTGCTGTCACAGTAGAGTAAGAATGCTGGTTAATCTGTAGCTGAGAATTTATTTGCAGAAAGAAACATACCTTTGTGTCTGCATGTTGATACCAGCTTGTAACACTAACCCCTTTCTCACACTGTCTGGGACAGATTGCTGTGCTGAGGGAACAGGATTAAGCAAGGTAATTGTTGGTGTGGGGATCTTGGAAGTAGACCACTTTTAAAGGTGGTTTGTTTTAATTGTGCCATTCATGTTGGAGGAAGGAGAAGTAACAATAAGCAGTGGTAAAGATCAGCTTTGGTGACAGCAGCAGATACTTACTTTAGCTAGCAATCTGACAGGAGGGAAAGAGAAAATGGGTAGGAAGGATGGGGGAGATGCCATCACTCCTCTTTGTGGTTTTGTGGTACCTTCTTAGGTGCTGTGGTGATGGGTTGCCACTAAATCTGACACAATCTCTGAAATGCACGTGCAATTGACAGCAGAGCAATATATTTCATATTTGTAAGAAGGGTTCTGAGTTTTAGTGTATATTTCATCTTTGGAATATATGTGCTAATATCCTTTTTTGTATATATTCACTGATCTGCTTTATGATACAGGATTATAAATGTGTGTTGTTTTGTTAGTGCTCAGCTCACAGATATCTTTTTAAAAGGCTGGATGGATCCTGTCATGCTGTTTTGCAAAGCCTTTCTACAAACCCTTCTCTGCATTTCTCAATTAGGTCAATTCTGTTAATGCATTGCAAATGTTTGGCATGCCTATAAAGCTTAAATAGAAACTTTACCAGTCACTTGAACTTAAGGATGGTGGCAGCCAACTGGAAGCTTTTTACCAGACATTATTTCTTTAATAAAAATCCGGTATACATGGAAAAATTATTTTTCATTGTACATCTTGATGTGATAAACTATAGGAGAAAGAAATAAGGCAGTTCTAGGTTGTAAGGAGGTTGCTGACTTATCATCATCATCAGCCCATAAATGCTTGCTCATATTGCTTGGCAGTGACATCATTTCTCTTTCTGAAACAACATCTGTTGCTTCGAGTCTTCACTGTTACAGAGTTAAATAAGTAATGAGCTTGACTGATCTGTTTGGACCTTCGGATATTTTGCAGTGACCAGACTGCAAATTAACTTTGGTGATATATTTCTGCTGCATCCCTTTCTAAAATGTGGGTCAGTTTACAACTTGTGAGAGGGCATGGACTTATGATTCTGTGTACCTCACCCTGTTCAGCCTGAGAAATGCCATCTCTTTTGTTTCAGTTAACACACATCTGCCAGGCAGGGCCAGAAGGACAAAGCTCAGTTCATCTTTTTTATGTGACATCTCACTTTGGTTGTCTTCTCTGTTCACCTGTTGCTCACATAACCTTACGTTGTACTTCAAAGAATGGTGTCTGTTCTTTTTGATTTCTGGTATAAAGAGATGAAACTCCCTTGCCTGAGCAGCATCACACTGACAGAACTAACTTTGCAGAGGCAAAATGTGTGCATAACATGCACATGTGTGTGTGTACGTGTACATATGATCAAATGGATAATGTCTAGTTGAATAGAGATAAACTAGATTTCTTATTTTTTTTAAATTCTTTTAAGTGCAGAGAGCAGGGTTTAATCAAGCAGCTGCTTTTCGTGGCTAAGCCTTCACATGCTGTGCTGAAAACTTGCCACTAAATGTCTCTCTCTGGTCTGGAAAGCTTCTTCAATTCACTTTTGAGGCGTATCAACTCAAAGGTCATATTAATTGTTCAAAGCAGTATTCCAGTGCTGAAACATAAAGTTGTAAAAATAGTGAAATTTTTATACTAGGGTGTCTCAGATGTCATTTGAGCCACAGAGGCTATTGCTGATGTCATCTGTCACAGGGACTTTGGTGGGATGCTTAGATGATGGGAAAGCCTAGCTGAAAGATACTGTACTATTTGTTGATAAATTTGTTGATAAATGTATTCAGTTTGCACTTAGCTGGCATACTGAAAACCCTGTGAGCCTGACATCAAGGTATATTCTTGTTGCTTTGAGGTTCAGTATAGGAGTTATCTTCAACTTCAGTAAGTGCCAATGAGTCAAAATTTGTCAAAATATTTCTTTACAAAAGCACAAATTAAACGGAAAAGGTGTTGACAGGAAAAATGTGTTGTGTTTATTGCTGCATATTTAAGAGGCAATTAGAACTTCAGTGCTGAATTACATGGTTGTTTTCACTTTGACCAAACTTTAAAATACATGGGTGAAAGCATGTGTGTGTCCATTGCACCTGTAAAGCACTGATTCGTGTAGACAGCATTGAGTCAGTAACCACATTGTGCTTTAGTGAGCTTTGCATACTTGTGCTTATTTGAAATGCATTTTGTTGCTTTGTAAGTGTTGGTAAGTAGATTTATTAATTTATTTATATTTTTAAGTTATTAATATTTGCAACCAACTTCAGAAATGTTGGCAAGTTTAAAAAAAAAAAAAAAAGTGCTATCTATGATATTTTTACACACTGTTTCCTCAACGCCCACTCCTCTTTTTTTTTATGCTGTCATTTATTTTTATCTGTCTTTATTTCTCTCTTACACTTGTGACTTCTTGTGAGATACCCTTCACAACATTTCCATCTTGAAGTTTGGAGTCTTACCCCCTGGTCCCTGCCTGCCAGCCCAGCATTATCTCCTGTCAGCACCCTCACTTCCTCAGTGCTGTTCTGTCCTCTACAGGCACCGATTCAGCTGCAGACTGCTCTGCTCTCTCCATAGCCAGCTCTGAGCTGTCTCTGAACAGCCAACAGTGGCTCTGCATGCTTTTCAGTACTTAACAGAGAAAAAGCCATCATGCCTGAGATGACTTCTTTAATAACTCTGCTTTTTTTTTCTTCCTAATTTGGCTGTTTCCCTCTTCAGTCAGCTGTGGTCAGTTCCATTCTAGTACTCTCCTATCTATCAGCATTGATATTGCAGTGTTCTTTTATTCCGTGTCAACAAGTAAACTTTGCTGTGCAATGTCAAAGCTGCCCAAGGCCTATGTTCTCTGGTTTTGTGTACAGGTGAATATCACTCGTAATAAACATTATCCAAAAATGCATTTTGTTTTCTGTTTGGCATCTACTATACATTGCTGAGTTAATTGCTTAAATTGAAATGCGGTAAGAAGATACTAAGAATAGCTTCAGGTATTTTTATTTCATTTCATTTCCACAGGAAGTAACCACTTGCTTACCAGAGTACTACAAATGGACACAATACCTCTTTCTTAAGCTTTTTGAATCTGGGATAGTGTATCAAAAAGAGGTAGGTACAAACTTTGACCTGTGATATTTTGTACTGCATTAGCTCTAGTCACTTATTAGATCAGTAATTCTGTATGTATTTCTGGATCATCCATTTGCATTCATTAAGTGATTAGATATTTATGGTGCTCTGTTTGGTTTTAAATTACTGCAGAATATAATGAATTTTGTGTATAATGAACATGAATGGGTATTACAGCATGTCAAACCAGAAATGTTTACACTGAAATGCAGGATCAGAACCTAGCTACCATTAGTTGATTTTCTGGCTTCAGTACAGAATTTTCTAGGTCTTAACTTCCCTCTCCCCAAGATGTAAAAGATAACGGGATCGTGAAGAGTCTCTTCAGCAGTGAGATTATTTGACTGTATTACAGTACTGTGATGCTGTCTCCGAACTGATAGAATTGGATAGGATAATAGGACTTTGTGTCTAACATCTAATTCCTGAACCCTGTTTGTGACCTGTAACATATTACAGAAATGCTAGCTGCTGTAAGAATATCAGAGCTGCTTTTCAGCTAGAAGTACATTAATAAATTCTGGACTTTATATTATTTTTATGAGTGACATGAGATTATCTCAAAAGAGAAGAGTTTCGGTTAACCTTTAAGCAGGAGGTGAAACAAAGGTGCTAAATTAGCATCCTGAAGAATTATCTAGCCAAAGAAACTCAGTTCCAGAATACCTGAACCTGAACTACTGAGCTGCATCAAAACAAAGCTACAAGTTAGTGAATGTTCCTAACCTGAAGTGGAAACTAATAAATTAGCTTTAAAGTTTCCATTGTATTGTATGGGAACCAGAAAATCCTACAGGACATAATTAAGGATGTAATCCAGTTATGCTACAAACCCAGAAATAGAGGTTGATGATGAAATGTTGCACTTGGAAACACGAGGTATTCCTGATCCACTTTTCCTATTTCTGTCAACAAGATACATTCAGAGATCCTAAATGACAGCTAGCAAGAAGATTGAATGTTTGGTGTGTCCTACCATGCAGAGTTTGGTTGTTTTGGTTCTTTCTTTGTTTTTGTTTGTTTGTTTGTTTTTGCTCTGTATTTTCCTTTTTTTTTTTTTTTTTGTAATAAAAATAATTTGTTATCAAAAAGCTAGGATTTACATTTCTTTATCTATACATATATATTTTTTGAGGTGAATCTGAAAAGCTCAAGGCTTGCAGCTTCTTTAGGAGATACACAAAAGCTGTTTTCCATGCAGACTCCCAGTGTAGTGGGAATTTGGTGGTGTTTGAGTACCAGTGGTAGGATGTGCTTCTAAGACTTAAATCAGCATCTGTCAACCTGTAGGGAATGTAATCTCTGTTGAATATAAACCAGTTGCTTTTTGGCAGAAAACAGATGGCAGAGATATAGCCCATAACCCTTGGTCTCTTCAAGCTGTCGTGTATCCTTGAAGCATACTTCTATCCTGTGTCTTCAGCATACCTGCAATATACATTAGGCAGTACACATTTTTGCATACACAATATTGCACAGCTTGAAGCCTCCTGTTTTACAGTTTCTTTTAGGCGTGAGGAGATAATTCATGGCCTTACTATGGAGATAAGAATGATATGTGTCAAGTGTTAGTGTGGTTAGCACCCAGGAGTATGTGTGCCTGGCAGGAAATTTCTCTGGCTGGGAAGCAGGTTCAGTGTGTCTGGGAGTTGGACTTAGTGAGAGTTAACAGTGCCTGTCTGGATGCTGCAGCTTCTGGAGACAGTGTGTCTTAATTCACCTCTGCAAAATACTCTGTCTTCTTACAGTACAGATCTGATCAATATACTGTAGAGATTATTGACTTGGCCAAGTGTGTCTCATTTCATTTGGGATGAATTGCTGTCTAGACTGTATTGATTATTTTGATTAGGTACCTGCAGTCTAGTACCATAGACACCAAACCTGGAGACGATACTTATGCTATCTGAGGTTCTGACATCTGAGGTTAGATGAGATGAATCCTTCCTTAAAAGCTTGTGACCTGGTGTAGAGGGCAGATCTAAGTAAGTTGTGTGAGATATGCACTTTCACACTGTGCTCTCGTTGTATTGGTGAAATTTAGTTACTTCCTGGAGCTGTCGTTTGAGGCTGTTGTTTTCACAAAGTTGCCTCTGTGAAGTGCAAGTAGGATCTAAGGATTTAATTTAATATCCAGGTTTTGAATATTAGTCAGGCTCTGAGAGATGGAAGGAGCAAAATGCAACCCTAAAAGTTCATGGTAAGACCATTCAGCTGTGCATTTCTTACACGTGTATTTGCTTTATGCTTTGGATTATCTATCTAGATAAATTTTGCTATTATGAATCATGAGAATATGTCATGCTAAATAATTATACTTGCATAAATCAGTTTGGTTAATTTCCAGAGTTCTCACAAGTTTACCTAATATCAAAACAAAAGCAGTATTTTTTTTCAACTTTTAGTCATAACCAACTTAATATAAGCAAATGCTGATATTACCTCATGCAGCTGATATTTTAATACTTCCTGATGTTATTTTAACTTAGCTTGATATTTTTTAGATCTTTATAAATGATAAGATTGTAACTTTAAAGCCAACTTCATAATGTGTTGCATCATTACTTGTGTTCTGAAAGTTAGAAAATAGGTCTGCAATAGCATAATCTATTGATCACTTACAATTTCCCAATAAACTTTTTGAAGGCTGTTGTAAAAACTGTATTTTATTGATAGGAAACAGATGGAAGGTAGACAAATTCAAATTCCGGTGATATGTTGAATTCATTCAAGCTTGATTTGAAGATGAGTTCATTTTTATTAAAAAAAAAAATGACTTTAATTCATTCTTTCATAATGAATTTTGTGTAAATGAGTGTAAGCTATACTGATAACAAAAGTAGCAACAGCATTCCTCAGGAAGATAGGGTCTGTACATCTGTTTTTTTTCTGTCCTCACCAAAATGTTTGTGAAGTGATTGTTGTATTTACATTTTCTAAGAATGCACAGCATAACTACAATTAAGCTTTATCAGTTTGGAAACTGAGACGTTTCAGAAGGTTGTCAGTGGTGGATGAAATGTGAATGATGCAAAAGCAGAGAATGTGGATAGGTTGAGATAGTAAGTTCTCCCATTACCCAAAGAAATAAGCATTTTAAATAATGTATTTCAGTGCTGTGGAGCTGGTGCTAATGCTTTTTATTTCATCTGATTTAACTTTTTGATTTGCTCGAATAGTAGGTAAAACTCAATTTAATAGACCATCACTTCTATCTGTTCATTTTTTCTAGTTAGTGTCTGTCATTGATGCTACTTTGGAATGACTGTTACAGTGCTCTTAGGATTTTTCTGTGTGATCTTACACCCTTTATCATAAATGATCAGCTAACTTATTCAGTACTGTGAGGGGGAGGTTTTGCTTTTACTCCCTCCCCACCATGTCTGAATACAACACTAGTATTTATTTCACTTGAAATTTTCTTTAATACATTTGTATTGGTAACTGGTAGGAAAGATGATTGCAAAAGTAATTCAAACAACTGACAAGAAATGTGTGGAAAATAACAAGTCTTTCACTTCAATATAATACTTCTCCTCTCATGTTGTATATGCTCAGCCATCTGTCCCCTTCAGTCTCACTCTCAACACCTTTGGATTAGTGGTGGACAACTTTTAAGCATCAAACTATGTAATTTGCAGTATTGGAAATTGGAACGCTCAGCCATCAAACCAGGCAAATGCTGCAAACTTTTTTCTTTTGAACATTCAAAATATGCTCACTTGAGTCTGTACTGCTGACGCAAATGGTTGTTATAAAAGTGTAGAAAATAGGAGCTCAACAGATGTTTCTGGCTAATTCTTCTGTTATCTAAAAAGTAAGATTCTGTTTTTGAAATACCTGCATAAAATATTATTTCCTGAAATGTTTTCAGGCCTTGGTCAATTGGGATCCAGTAGATCAAACCGTTCTAGCTAATGAACAGGTGGATGACAATGGTTGTTCATGGCGTTCAGGAGCAAAAGTGGAACAGAAGTACCTCAAACAATGGTTCATTAAAACTACTGCGTATGCAAAGGTATGAGGATACTGCTTTTGGAATTTGTGGTAGCATTTAAGGAGATGACTCTTTTCCCAGAAATACTTATTAAAGCTGAATGTGGTCTTCTATGTCTACGTGTTTGCATAACGTGTGATTATATAATAATATATGTGATTTGTCCCTTTTCATGTGTGTGTTTTTTGTTGTGAGCTTAAATTTGGACTGCAGCGTACAGTATATCTTCCACATCTGAGTTTAAAAAAAAAAAAAAGTGTCAACTTCCTCTTTTATCTGGATGAAATCTTTATTCCATTCAAGTGTTCTGTATTGGGACCTCAAGTATAGATAGAGAAAGTTATGTCCAATAAAATATTAAAAATTAATCTTTAATAAAGCTCATATTCAAGAGACCTAATTTCTACCATCTTTTAGGGAGAATGCATGTCAGGTCCATTCATAATCAAGAGAAAACCTTATATTTCATGCCTGATCCTTTGATTCTCTATGTGCAAAGAGGATAGTTGAGATGTACTTTTTCTGATTGTTCTGGCAGTAAGGAGGGAACATTTGCCGTAGTTGAAGGAAAAATTGAACATGTCTGCACAATCACGAAATGATCACAAGGTTCTGAGCTCTATATCAATGCTCTTGTTATCAGATTTCATGATCACTGTCATGTTTCAGGGTCTGTCCCAACTTACCATTTGCCTCAGTTTGAGGCTGGAAGTTCTCTGGAGTTTCTACTCTTATCAATACATTTTTTTCTATTGTCTTTATAGAGATTATAGGAAGTAATGACTGATATTTCTGGGTTGTATCCCTGCTTGACCAAATTACCGGGCTTTTATTTCCCACTTAGAGAGGTGAATCAGCCTTAAATTTCTACTAAAAAGAACCCAACCTTGAAGTGGAAACCTTTCAGTAACCTTAGAACACCTTTGGTTTACAGGATTATTAGCTTTTGCTCATCCACCCTTCTCTAGGGAGGAGGATCTACCTTTTTGCTTTAGTCTCTAAGTTAAGAAATACAATTATAGGTAAAACATAAGCGTGGTAAATGATCAGGTCTCCCAGATCTCATTATCCAGTAAGTAGGCTTTACTGAAAGCCAAGGACCTTGTACATCCACAACCATTTAACTCCCTGCAAAAGATTTCACCTTGAGAGACTACTGTATGCCCTACCTACAAAAGAAGGAGGAGGGTTATGGTGCAGAAATGCTCCTTAACATCTCATCACAAGTGAGAGCTGCTTCTATTTCTTGTTTAGGGATAAATGTTTGGGTCAACCTCCACCAAACCTCTAAGCATTAATACAGAGGACAGTGAATATTCTACGGATCTCTATAAAGCTTCCCAAAAGTTTGTTCTGTGCTTGATTAATATTCTGTAGTTATACAAATAAGTCAATGAATTATGCCATACTGCTCCCAGCTCAAGTGCTTTGGCAAGAGTTGCCTTCGTGTGCTACTGTTTCTCAGTGTAATGACAGATGCTGCCAGTTACTAGCAGGTGGTTTGGATTTTCCTCTTCACTCACTTTTCCATTTTTTTGCTGTGGTCTTGGCACATTTTAAACAGTCTCACTCTGTTTCTTTTGGCTTTGTACATTTGGTTGTTAAGGGGAATTTTTTTTAATCTAATAATTGATATTAGATGGGTTTCACAGCTCAGAAGATTAAGAAATTTTGTTTTTTATTACTTTTTTTTTTTCTTTCAAGTTGCAAATGACTAGCTAATATGGTACATTGTGTCTTACCTTCTGAATGGCCTGTGAACTGCAAACTGCAACTGGAGATTGCCTATGTGAGGAAGATGGTCTCTGAGCTATCACTGAAAAGATACTTCAGTCTCTTAGAGACAGCGTGTCCACATTGACATAACCAGGAAGCTTCACAGTAGCATCTCAAGAGGGAATGCTATATCACAGATTATATATGCTTCAACTTTGACTCCTCTATCTAAATATGTTGACTATTTATCCCCAAAACTCAACTTTCCACACACTTATTTATTCCTTACAGTAGTTGTTCCAAGTACTTTTTAAGGGGTTTCTGTATGACTAGTCCTTTTATGAGTCAAAGATACCTCTTTGACTCTAAGAAACTGAACATTTTTAATACCTAAATAATTTTAGAATGATAACATTAGTGATGAGAATACCTTCACTTCTGATGGGGGCATTATTTGTTGTCTCTTGATCCTGAAGGCATTCGTCTGCATTAAGTGATTTGCCTGGCTTAAATTGTGGATGAGAACTACTACCAGTACAACTTCCTTTTTTTAATGTTCAGAAACTCTGGGTACACGTGCTTCTAATCATAAATGAGTACAACAAACAGTTTTTGGTCTTTACCTGACAGTTGATCAATGAATATATCTCTTTAGAAAAATAGCAGGTTCTTTATAAATATCACTTCCCTTTTTATTTCTTCAGTTATTTGGAGCTCACAATTAACATGTATATAGTAACTTTCCTGTAGATATTTTCAGGAACCTGAAGTGAGCCTTCATACTCCAGCATAATGCAATAGCAGGAAGTGTTTTTATACAAGCTGGCCTGAGATTGTGATGATTACTTGTCACACTTAATATGCCATGCTGCTGTAAGTGGGAAATTTGAGAGGACATTATAAAGATTATCTTTAATGGGACTAGTCATTTTCTATGGTTAATCTTTTTGTCTCAAAGAACAAAAAAATCAAAACCAACGCAGAAATAGAAGTTCAGCCTTCCAGACCTTGTCTGGACTTGAGATTTTCATTTCCCATTTATTTTCCAATTGTTTGGTGTACCCCTGCATTTCTGCTTCTTTTCAGAGTGACCAGAAGGTTAAAGCAAGGTGGTTCCAGATTGATGATGTCCAAATCATTCTGATCCAAAGACCTACGTTTTTCTGCAGACTAGCCTCTAGATCTTTGAGCCATGCTGCCAGAATTCCTGTCAGTACTCACCTGCCCCTGTATTTCCTATATCTCACAGCTTGAACAAATTCATCGACACAGCAAGGATTTGTTCCATATGTAATATGGTGTTCTTACTAACTTTGTGTAAAGCTAGTAGTGTGGGCTAAGTGGATCAGGCTTTCAGTGAGTTGTATCCACAGAAATTTTACTACTTTTTCTGAAATTTTAAAATGGGAGATGCAAAGAGATTAGCAGATAGCAATTTAATCCTTGCACCTCTGGGGGAAGGTTTGTATTTCTTCTCCACGTTAGTTACTTTGGGACTCAGATGGTTAATAATTTTTTAGTGTGCACTACTTTCCCCTTCCTCTTTCTCCAGTGATGCTTTGATTTGGTTTTGGTACCTCATGGGAAAGCCATGAGGTGACTCTGTTCACCTTTAGCTTGCACCTTCAAAGGTGACTACTACTTCTTTAGAAAAGTTTACAGAAATTTAGGACCAAATGCCAGAAAGCTCCACCTTCCTTGGTCTTTTCCTGCGGCAAGGCTCTCTGCAAATCACTTGTTTGTTCCAGAAGTTATCCCTGGATTTTCTTTAACTTAACACAGTGAGACAGCACATTGAAAAATGCTTTATTTCTGCTATGTAACACCTTACCCGTATGGATTGGAGGAAAATATAAGTCCTTATACTGTAACCATTTTTTGTAGACAGGGATCCATTTAAAATATATTTAATGAGTCTGTTATTCTTTAGTTCTTCATGCAAATTACCAGCTAGCAATAATAACAGAATGATATGGATGCCTACAGTTTATTTTCTATTTGGAGCATCCACAAATCATCTTGATGTAACTATACAACCTATTTATATTGCATGTTGATGATCTTTCTAGTCATCTGTGTTTCTCTTTCACCCATTTGTCTTTCTGTTTTTTTTCCTCTGTCTCCCAACCTTAATAAAAATAAATTCTGGGAACATTAGTCTTCATCTGCATGCTTTCTTTACTACTCAGGTAGCAACAAGGCACTATCTGATCAGTGATGGGTGGTGAAATCATTTTCTGTGCTTGCAGTAGTCTGTGTTTAATTTATATGCATGCAGTATCTTAGATTCCTGTTGCGTCCAAAGGAACCACCTTCTGTGGATTTGCTTTGAATTCTTTATTTTTTCTGCACCTGTTCGTAGTCCTTCTTTGAAACAAGAAATGCAGACAGACAAAGCAGCATTTAGTCACATAACATACCGTTGGCAGCGTGTTTTTTTTTTTGGAGGGCAAAAGTACTGACCATTCTTTAAACAATTAGCAGGAAGTATTTTAGTTACCTAAAGTTACAAAGTAATTGTGACCCATTTTTTAAAAGTAGATCTAAAAAGGTCTAGCAGCTTGGATGGATTTTCAAAGGACGTTTTAATTGTCATTTTTCCTTTGACAGACTTCTTTGATAAAATTATAATGCCTTAACTATGATGGCATTATTATTCAAATTGTTGTCTGTGCATTTAAGATGTTTTAAGCTAAAACATTTAGTTGCTATGGTTACCCAGCTGAATCTGTAGGCAGATTCATTGGAAAAATCGATCTGGAAATGTTAGCGTGTTCCCTGTGTATTTGTAAATTGTAGTACTGTGGTGGTGATTTCTTTAAAGCACAGTCCACGAATCAGAACTTGCAAGGTCAGTGTTTGCACTGCACCTGTTCTTCCAAAATTAATTGCATACAATGCATGTTTTTATATTTTACTGAAATTTCTGGATTTTTCAAAAGCAATTAAAAAAATCGAATGATTCAGATAACTAGAGAATATTAAAAATAATTAAATAAAGTAGGAGCAACTTTGAAACTTCCTGTTTTGCCTTCAGTCTTCTCCCATTTTGCGCAGCATGAAGATAGTTTAAATACTGGGGAAATAGACAAGGCCTATAAATTTCTGCCTAAATTTTTATAGATGCCATACAGCAGTCTTTTCTTCATTATTCAATTTGTGCAGGCATTTAGAGACACATCCTTCTCACTTTCTGTAAGCGTAAAACACCAGAAGATCTATTAGTTCTTTTCCAGCTTTTTTTTTCTGTTACCACTTCATCTGACAGCCTCTTTGGTCTGATTATAATTTGAATTTTTACATAA